GGGTCTGCCTGACGCCCATGCCCCCCCCCCCCACCCCCCATGACCAAAAGAGATTTTGCCTGCTTCACTAAAAAGACAGCCCTGTATATACAAATACCTGTTGAAAGATTTATAACACATAGGCCATGGTTGCTGACTGCCAGTAAAATTAAGCAGTTCAGCTTGGTCAAAGGCCCACCCCCAACTGATAATTAGACAGTGATGGAAGAGAAGTACATTAATTATGTCATTTCTGTGCTCCCCTCTCCTGTAAATATGTATACAGTGCAGTGTTTCAAATATGTTTTCAATGAATACATAACTAAGTTCCATTTTGTTATATATGCCTGAAATTCAGCTTTAACACACAGTGAATAGAATGCAATTTGTTATTTTCTAGATGGAAACTGATATGGGGCCAGCATAATACGCCTTTTACCACACGTCCAATCAATCCGTGGAAAGTAAAGATTGCCATAAAACAATAATAATGACTGCAGTGAATCAACTTTCCAAGCTCATGAAATACATCACCTTCACATAATCCTGGTTGAGAAGCTGCCACTGTTCACCATATGACTTTTTCAGCTGCTGTTTTTCCCGAATGAGGTCAGAGAGCTTCTTCAAGGGTCCGGAATGCAAAGTGTCTGAATGATTCCGTAACATGTGACTCAGGTTGTCTGTCTGAGTGACCATTGTGGACCAGGTCTAAGAACAGTGTGGAAAAGATGAGAAAATGGAGAAATGTGAGTTTAGGATTAAGAGTTTGGTTTATTTTTATATAGAAGGCAGATAAAGAAGGGCTGCCAGTAAATGTGCACAGTATTAGGCAATAACTATTTTTTTCAATGAGCTCAAAAGTATAGACACAGAAATTACTACACAGTAACTGTCTTACCTTGCAGTTATATAAATTAACTAACATTAAAGCCTAACGCCCACTGTCAATCGGGAAAGGCTGTGAGTGCAGGGCATTATGACACTGCTCCCTAAGCCTAGGCCCTGCACTCACAGTTTATTGATACAGGGCCGAGCTGCTCAGATGTTAACACCTCAGTCCCACTCGATGCAACACCCAGGAATGCCCCGCACCAAGAAGAGACCAAAGAGGAGAGGAACAGGACCCAGTGCTTCATGTGACTGGCCAGAAGATACCTAAAAAAAGGTAAGAAAAAAAAAAGCGGAAAATACTGCTGGGAGGGGGTTCAAAGGAGGG